GTATACGCATATTTCCACTCAGCTTAAGTCGACAAGCTGGTTCTGATTAGGCTGAGGTTCTAGTGATTTAATTTAATAATGCCGCGAAGAATATTGTGTTATTTTTATAAACTAGCAGATTTATAAGCACCTTATTTTCAAGTAAACAAATAAAAATGAATGTCCATGAATTTATTATAGATTAAACCACACTTTTCTTACACTTATTCTTACCTTATATGCAAAATGAGGTATTTCATTTGAACAAAAGACTTGGTCAAGAGACACCTGTTCGGCCTGCTCCTATTCCAATAAACATTTCTGAATCTTTACTAGCACCTGATATACTTACACATTACTGTGAATGTGGTAGATAATGATTCAGTATTGAAACTAAAAGAATTTCGGACTATCAATCGTCTTTATTTATTTTTGATTAAGACAACGTTTCGGTCAGAAGGATCACTGACCGTTATCAAGTGTAAACACAGTGTAAACAGTCTAAACTAAACCGATTCCTAAAACCACTGAGCTTTTATACTACAGCCAGACATTCACACGTGGTTGCCATATCGTAAATATTTCCGTACTGGGATTACTAAAAATGGTGTTATTGTTTGCAATAAAAATGGCCTCTTTAAATTTACCGCCCCATGGCCTCCCTCTGTATAGCTTTCCAGCAGTGGCGGATACAGAGGGGGGGCCATGGGGCCCGGGCCCCCCTAAAATCTATAGATTGGGTTAAATATTAGGATTTTGGGTCAAAAATGGCGCCCTAAATAGCATATTCTACATTACTTTTTATTTGGGCCCCCCCTAAAATAAATTCCTGTATCCGCCGTGAAGTTCCCTTTAGACAATCCGAGCTTCTGACCACTTTATATTGTGCTGTTTTGACCAAACATGGTCCGCAATAACTGACTTCATTACTTCACCTTTTTGTACATATTTTTTGTGCTCGCTAAGTCGTACATTTAGAGGACGTTTAGTCTCTCCAATTTACGACTCACTACATTCACAAGGTACCTGGTAGATCTTCTTCTCTTGTTTCAATGATTCTGGTCTTGTTTTTGTTAGTGCGCTTCTTAGAGTCGATCCAGATTTGAAGACAGTTTTAATTTTATATTTTTTGGATATTCACCTGATCTTTTCTGGTGTTGATCCTCCTCAGGTCGGTAAACCAATGAGTCAGTTTTACGATTTGATATTGAAATAATTTTTTCTACGGACTTCTCAGAGCAAATTCTGAAGCAAATCCGTTTTAATATTATTTAGTTCAACATTAAGTGATGCTTGGTCACCGCATATGGTATGGTATTTGCTTGATATCATAAAGTTTTAACTATTTCTTTCTTAGTTGCTTCAGAATGGTGTAGCTAATGGTGTAACACTTACATATTGTCCCGAATGTATGGGTTTTCCCCCTATCTATCTACCTATTGGTCTATTGGGTAAGTCCCAATAGATTCCCCATTCTACTAACAAGGACATCTAGAAACGGCAGACAGATTTTTTTCTCTTTCTAAATCGTAAATTTGATGGAATCATTTTGTGATTTGAGATGCTTGAGGAAGGAATCCAACTGTCTATCGGTTCCGTTCCAGATTATGAAAGTATCGTCGACATATCGAAGCCAGATTTTAGGTTTGACGATTGCAAAGCTAATGGCATGAGTCTTAAACCATTCCATATATATGTCTATATTAACTATCACTGGAAAGAAGGTAGGAACCCATCGGTAAACAGCATCTCAAGAGTTCCATCACTCCTCTACAAGGCGAAGTTCTTTCAGAAAAGGTTACGTTTGCCCTTAATGTAGCCTCAACCATGTCTAACAATTCCTCCCAGAAGACAAATTTGTCTGAAGGGCCTAATTCTATGTTCTTAAGTATTTCTAAAAAATGTTTTGAATTTTTAACAAATGGAGTTGTTTTTCCTACTAATGGTTGGACAATTTGAAGGAGAAATCTACTTAAATTGCTAGTTGCTTAATTTCTTGAACTAGT